CCTGCAATCCTGCCTGCTGCCTGCTTCCAGCCCCTTTGCTAGCCCTGCCCTTCTTGCAGCAGAGGCTGCTCTGTCTCCAGCCCATCATCCCTGCAAGTGACAGTCCTGAGCTCTAGGAGACTTTAACTTCTCTGCACACAGATGGCTGAGATTTGGTGGGGTAAGGAATGGGTAAGGTGAACGGGGCTGGGCAGGGGAGGTTGTAGAGGGGCAGAGCAGCAAGGGCAGGGGTACAGGACTCTGCCAGAAGGAAAGGAGAAGCTGAGTCCTGGGCAGACCCTGGGGACCTGGGAATAACAAGGGGGACTCCACCTTGTCACTTGACCATGAGCCTTTCTGGACCCCAGATTGTCCACCTATGAGAAGGGGAGGACCCAGACTGTCCCCTTCTTTCCCAAAGGGCTGGTGAGGGCCTAGAAAAAGACCCTAGACTACAATGATTAGAGGAACACCTGGCATCTCTTCCAGGGAGGCCAGCATGGGAGTGTCTTAGGGCACTGAGAGGGCTTGAGGAAGCCCCCCCTGGCTTTGGAGCTGGACAAGGGAGAAAGAAAGAGTTCTTTCTCTTGGCCTGGGCCCCCCAAGTTGTCTAGGAGTTCAGAACAAAGGAGGCTCTTGAGCCCAGTGGGCGACAACCGTTCCTTCACTGATGATCCCTCCACTGAGGGGTTCAAACATCAGTGGGTCAAAGTTTGAGAAACAGGATTTTTGCATAGGCTCTAAGTATATTCGTCAAGGTATTTATTAATTTCAACTGGAAAAACAGAAACTTTACGATAAAGAAATCCAGTAAGCACTCCCTTAGCCAAGTGAATGAGGTTTACATCACCAGCACTAAGATACATCAGCGTATCTGTCTTAGATGCCTGCTAGGATGCAGGGAAAGATGCAGCATCATTTCTGTGTTTTTCTTGCCAAAAACCATAACCTCAATCTGGTCATGAGAAAATATCAGAAAAATCCAAACTGTGGGGCGTTCTACAAAACAATTGATCAGCATTCTTCAAAAGTGTCAAGATCACAAAAGACAAAGAACTTTAACCGAGGAGCTGTCATCGGCTGGAGACTAAGGAGACATGAAAACTAGGCAATGTGGAAATATGAGCTGGATCCTGCAACAGAAAAGGAACATCAGTGCAAACACTGAGGGAAATTCCAACAAAGACTGTGTGTAGTCAATTATGAGCATTGTGTCAACGTCAATTTCTTGGTTTGGAAAACTGTACAATGCTTATGTAACATGTCACATCAGGGGAATTAGGGTGAAAGGCACACATGAATTCTCTGTCCTGTTTTGTAACTTTCCCAGAACGTCTAAAAGTATCTCAACATGAAAGTTAAAAAAAAAAGAAGGCTCTCTTCCATAGTGGTTGTCTATTTGTGAAGGAGCAGGAGAATTGAGTGGTCGAAAGCTCACGCCTAAGACCGGAGAGTTCTGTGTCTCCTGCTGCCCAGTCTCCAGCACCCTCGTATGTTGACCTAAAAGCTACTCCCAGCAGCCTTCCGGTCAGGCCTTGCCCACGTCTTATCACAACCATCTCTCCAAGCTTTCACTTCTGCCTCTGCAACGGGGAGAGCTGCCAGTTTGTTATACGGTGCGGTGGTTGAAGAGTGTCCCCCCCCAATTCACGTCTACCTGGAACCTCAGAATGTGACCTTGTTTGGAAACAGGGTCTTTGCATAGGTATTTAAGGTAAGAATTGAAACAAGATTATACCGGGTTAGGGTGGGCAATAAGTCCAATTAACGTCATTATAAGAGACAGAAAAGGATACAGAGAGACACTCAGAGACAAAGGCCGTGTGAAGACGAAGGCCAAGACTGGGGTTCTGCAGCCACAAACCAGGGAACAAGACAGCCACCGGCAGATGGAAGTGGCAAGGAAGGACTCCTCCGGACAGTCTTCAGAGGAAGCATGGCCTTGCCAGCACCCTGATTTCAGACTTACAGCCTCCAAAACTGTGAGAGAACGAGTCTTTGTTGTTTCGCGTCACTGAGTCTGCGGTGGCTTGTGACAGCGGCCCTGGGAAACTAAGATGTAGTCGGCACTCTTCTTCCGTTGGTTCGTATCTTGAGTAACTTTGATGTGCATTCTCTCTTCCCTCTTAGGCTGGGGGCCTCCAACGGCAGGGACAGTCTCTTCCACTAGCCACGAGCCTGTGTGCTCAGAGTGCAGGGGCTGTGCCTCCTCCTCAGTCTGGCCTGTCCTGAGGTTTGCTTCCTCAACACACAATGCAGGCTCTGGGGGGGCTGCCTGGCCCTGCCCATGTCACCTGTTTGGGTTGGCAGCAGCCTCCCATCGGCTGGGTGGTGCAGGGAGACTCACCAACCACAAGAGGCACCACCCCAGGCTCCTCCTTCAATCCCCTCTTTCCTGGGGCAGGCTGACCCCCTCACAAAGCCTGTCCACAAGTCCAGAGGTGGGGGTACTCCAGGACCCAGCAGTCAGAGCTGGCTATCTGATAGGTACACCCCCAAACCCACTAACCCCCCGCTGCCCCAGAAAGCTGTCTCTCCTCAGAGCATCATAAACAACAGGCCTCCAGGCACCAGGGAGGGGGTGACAATGTGGTGTCCTCTAAGTCTGCACTCCCGGTCGGGCCGGGCCGTGTGCAGCTCCTTGATCACTGAGACCACGGCTGCAGGGGAGGGAGGGTGGCCTCAGGCTCTGGCTTGGGCCAGGGCAGGGGGAGAAGAGCAGGCTGTATTCCATGCTGGGGTTCCAGAGTCCATGCCAGTGGGCAGAGGTCTCTTCTTAGATTGTGTGCAGGGGTTTATCGGTCATTGGTCCCTACCATCTTTATCTTTTGAATTCCCCTGGGAGGAGGGAGAGGAGAGAGCTTCTTTTGGGTTCCGTTAAATCAGAGGACGGGAGAAGAAAAGCTTTCCTTGTGTCCTGGGCCCCAGGGCTTCTATCCCTGGTTCCCTGCGGAGGAGGAAGACGGGGTGGCGGGGGGCCCAGCGGGAGCTGATATCGGGCTCTGCACTCCACTCCTGCTCCCTGGATCCCTCTGAATGCTGAAGTTTTCTCCAGTGAGCACCGGCCCCTGCAACAGCTAACAGCAACATGCCTCCCAGTGAAAGCGTCTGTCCCTCAGCCACAGTCCCTGCTGCCTCTCACTGGGGAAATTGTAGGGCTGGGCCACGGTGGGGGATAGTCTCTGCCAGGAGATGCGGAGTGTCTGTCAGGGGCGGGTGGAGCGGGGTGGGGCTCTGGCTTAGTCACATCCTCGAGAGTCCTTGGCATGGCAGATCTGGGGAGCTGGCAGCCTCAAGTGCCGGTCTCAGCACTGTCTTCTGAGCTCCTAAGCCCTAGCGGGGGGTGGGGGAGCTCCCTGACTTCTGCTTTGGTGGTAGTTAAGGTGGGGGTGGGGCTGGCGGAAGGCTCTGCTTCCCTCCTGGGAGCAGTTGATCCTAGAAAAGTGTTGGAGCTTCCAGCGGGGGCTGTTGGGGCCTGTCTGGAGAGATGGGACGTGTCAGGCAACCCCAGACACGACCGCATTCCTCCCAACATGCCTGCTGGGGTCTGTGGAGCTGAGGGGCTGATGGGAAGGTGAGGTGGGGGCCGGAAGGGATTGCTTCTGGAGGCTGTGTAGGAGAGGTGGGGCGGCTGAAGTCTTGACATACGAACCTCCAGGGCAGGACCCAATGGACTCCTGGAAATGTCCCCTGGCCCTCGGGGCCTCGGGAGTCAGGGACCCTCATGTTCACTCTGGCCACATTCTTGGCACAGCCTGCTCCTCTCCCAGGTGCCTGTACTCCTCCTTGAAACATCCCCGGGGCCAGCTCCACAATGAGCTCAAATGAGGGTGCCTGAACCAGCCCTCTCTCACACACTGGGGCTGCCCTGGGGGTCTGAGAAGACACCCGAGGCTGCAAGCACAAAGGCCCCCTCCAGGCCCGTTCCTGCGATGCTGCACCATCCCCTTTGGGGCCAAGGCTGACTACAGCGGTGCTAATCAGACTTTGTGTCACACGCGGTTGACAAAACCCTTTCACATATGTGGTCACATTGGGTTCGTGGAGCTGCCAGAAGTAGGCAGAGCAGATGATATTTACTCCCATTTTGCAGATGAGCGAACTGAGGCTCAAAAAAGTGTCAAGCCCTGGGCCACACAGGTGTAAGTGGCAGAGTCAGGAATCACCTGACTTCATGATCTTTCCCGACATCTCTGGCTGTGCCTGTGAGACCACCTGCCCTTGGCCAGACTGAGCAGCCAGTGCCATGGGCCTGTCCCCAGGTGTATGGTGGATGTGAGATCCTCCTCTTAGAGAGGATATTAGGATCTGTGCCCAGGGCTGGGGAGAGCTGCTTGGATTTCCCTTTAACGGGGGCATCAGGGTAGAAGTCTGAGCCACCCAGCTGGCTGGGCATGCTTCAGAGACATGACAGGCTTCTTAGCACAATCCAGCAGGAGGACCTGGAAGGGCCCTGACACCTTCTTGTCTTCTTTAACAGATGGTAGCGCTGAGGGTGGCATGCATGTGCCCAAGGTGACCTTGCCATGCTGGTCTTCCCCCAGCCAGGCATCAGTTGCCTGCAGGGTGGGCCTCCTCTAAGTGGATAGTAAAGGCCCATCCAATTAATGCGGAGCTGACAGGTCACCAGGTTTACAGTGCAGAGAGGCCCTGCTCCCTGTCACCCTGGCGAGTCCAGTGCACGGGTTCCTGAGGGCTGTGGCTGCCTGGGCCCGATGGGAAACTGTAGCCCGCAGGTCCACACCTCCCCGTGTGAATCACGCCTGGCGGGACAAGAAAGCCCCAAACACCCCAAACAATGAGTTTCCAGTAAAATATGACAGACATGACGAGGCAGAGGAGAGGAGGGATCTGACTGGGAGTTGGTGCTCGCCTGTGGGTGATGAAAGCCAAGGGGATGGAAGCTGCCGGGCCCGCCCCTACTCCTGGGTATAAAGCACTTGCATCCTTTTCCAGCTCACCTGAGTGCCTTTCTCTTCTCTCAGCCAACTCGCTCGCTCATCGCCTCCCTCCTGGGCACCATGACCACCTGCAGCCGCCAGTTCACCTCCTCCAGCTCCATGAAGGGCTCCTGTGGCATCGGGGGTGGCTCCAGCCGCATCTCCTCTGTCCTGGCTGGTGGATCCTGCCGGGTCCCCAGCACCTATGGGGGCCTGTCCGTCTCCTCCTCCCGCTTCTCCTCCGGGGGAGCCTACGGGCTGGGGGGCGGCTATGGTGGTGGCTTCAGCAGCAGCAGCAGCTTTGGTGGCGCTCTAGGTAGTGGCTTTGGTGGAGGATATGGTGCTGGCCTGGGTGGTGGCTTTGGTGGTGGCTTCGGTGGTGGGTTTGGTGGTGGCCTCGGTGGTGGTGATGGGCTCCTGGTGGGCAGTGAGAAGGTCACCATGCAGAACCTCAATGACCGCCTGGCCTCCTACCTGGATAAGGTGCGCGCCCTGGAGGAGGCCAACGCTGACCTGGAGGTGAAGATCCGTGACTGGTACCAGAGGCAGCGGCCCGCTGAGACCAGAGACTACACCCCCTACTTCAAGACCATCGAGGACCTGAGGAGCAAGGTGGGTGGACTGAGCAGCAGGAGGTGGCATCCCAGCTACCTCCCTCTGGGAACAATAGATGCCTCAGGGGGCCACCTGCACCTTTAGATTTCTAGACAGGACAGACTTCAACCCCAGATCCCTTCTTCTGAGGCCCTGGATGCCCCAAACAGAGCTGGTCAGTGAGAAGATGGTCTCCCTTGCCCTGCCTTGATCATTTCCCTGCCTCCAGCCCTCACGCCATGTGAGACCAGGGATTCCTACCCTTACATTTTACAGAGGAAAGAGTTGAAGTTGGGGCGGTGCTGTGACCTGCTGAAGGTCACACGGCAAATTAATTAATGGCAGAGCCGAGGCTAGAACCCTCATGCCCCACCTGCCAGTTCAGGAGGCAGCTACCTGTTCTCCAGTACAGGGGAGGGGCAAGGCTGTAACGGGACCAGGCTAGACACTCAAACCGCTTGTTAGCTCATTAGTCTGGGCTGTGGCTGCTGCCGCCCATGAGCCCTGGCACGGGCTGGCCCCTCCCCACAGCCAGGCGGGTGTGGAAAACCCACAGAGGCTACCAGTTGTGGCCCACCTTATGTGCCCTGCACAAGAAGGAGCCTGGTGTGCTTGTGCCCATCTGACTCCAGCCCCCTTCTCCCTGTCCCGCATTGCCCTGGGAACGCTCCCTGCCGAACCTGCTTGGCTTTGATGCCTTGCATGGGTTAGGAAAATTAAATGATGAGTTAAGGGACTCCAGCCTGGCTCAGGGTTTAATTTATCTTCTTTTTCTTCCCCTGCTTCCTCTTTTCTAATCCCCAGTGCAAGCTGGGTCTCATCTCTTGGTGGGTCCCACGCCCAGTGGACTTGAAAAGGAATGCATGTGCTTGTAGAGGACTGGCAGGGCTGATAGATGCAGAGAGAGGAGAATCTAGATCAGGAAGGGGGTCTCGGGAGCCTTAAGGCATTCCCCTCATGTGTAGGTGGGAGGCGTGAAGCCCTGAGACCCATCTTAGGTTTTGCAGCAAGTTTGGCAGGACTGGAATCACAGCTCCAGCACTTTTGATTCAAAGGACACAGCTCTTTTTACCCACTCTGCTGACCATAAGTTGACAAAGTCCTGTGTAGAAGCTGGACCTCCTGGGCCTAATGCAGGTTGCAGTGAAGTCTGGCTAGTGATGTCCCTTTGACAAATGACCTGTGCCCTTTCATCCTGCAGATCCTCACGGCCACCGTGGACAATGCCAATGTCCTCCTGCAGATTGATAATGCTCGCCTGGCTGCTGATGACTTCCGTACCAAGTGAGTTTGCAGTGGTGGCTCAGAATATCCAGCCTCCCCGGGGTGGAGCATTTTTGGAGCAGCGTTTCCTATATAGAGCTGACCAGTGCCAGGATAGCTGCATAAAAACCCCTTGGGGTGTTTGTAAAAATACAGCTCTTGGGCCCATCCTTGAAGTTTTGATTAAGTTATTTGTAACAGGTTACCTGGGTGATTCTGATCCACAGCCAGGTTTGGGAACCACAGCTTCGGGGAGAGACACGCCCCAGTTCCCCACCTGCCCTGAAGTGCAGGAGGTAGTCATATTTGGAGACCTTGCGCACTATTGGTTGGCTGAAGCTAGAAGTGCACCCCTCCTCCCCCCGAATTCTGCAGCAGGATGAACTGCCTTATTCCCAGGCCCCCAGGAATGTTCAGATCTGAGCAATCAATGGGCACTGTGTTCAAGATCGGCTCCCTAAACCACCCACAGGGTGCCAGCACTGGGGAGAAGGGAACAAAATCTTCAGTGTGGCCAGGATGGGTGTTTCATTCCTTTGCTCTCGGGTCATCCCAGGTACGAGACGGAGCTGAACCTGCGCATGAGTGTGGAGGCCGACATCAACGGGCTGCGCAGGGTGCTGGACGAGCTGACACTGGCCAGGGCCGACCTGGAGATGCAGATCGAGAGCCTGAAGGAGGAGCTGGCCTACCTGAAGAAGAACCATGAGGAGGTGAGAGCTAAATGGGAAAGCCAGCTTAAAAGAATAGCAGGGAGGGGGCCGGCCTGGTGGCGCACTGGATAGTGCACCGCTTGGGAAGCGCGGTGGCGCTCCCGTCCGAGGGTTCGGATCCCACATACAGACCGGCTCCCGCTCACTGGCTGAGCGAGGCGCGGGAGCAACGCCGAGGCTTGCGATCCCGTTGCCGGTCCCCGGTCCGGTATGGGGGCAACACTGAGGGTTGCGATCCGTTGCCGGACACGGAAAAAAGACAAAAGACAAAAAAAAAAAAAAAAAAAAAAAAAAAAAAAAAG